CCGACCTCCTTATCAGCCCGAGGGGACAACACCAAGTAAGGCCACAATAGAATCAATATGAACAGCGGCCCTTCCCAACGAATTTTCCGAGACACTAAACGAGTTTACGTCTGCAGAAAATTGCGCAGCGAAGCGGCCGCGGCGCCTGCGGCTCAGGCAGCGGCGGCAGGGCCGCGCCGGCAGCAGCGGGGAGGGACAGCCCTACGGGCCACAAGAGCCCGCACCGACCTGTGGCATCGCTATGTGAGTGCCTCGGGCTCAGAAGCCCAGCCCCTGGCATACGCCCAACGAGAGGGCTGGGCGCGCCTTCTGGCCCAACGTATGCGCCGCTACCGGCCCTCGGAACCGCTATCGCTGTGGTCGGCCACCAATTGCGCACACGCGCCCGTGTCTAATTCGTGTTCTTTCATGTACGCCATGAACGCGGCCGACTTCCATCCTCCGGCCTGGAGGATTTCCCACAGTTGGCAGCCCTGGGCGGCCATGTCCTGGGCGGCGCCCCTGCGGAACGCGTGCGCCCCCACGCCGGGGACGCCGACACCTCCGCCAAAGGAGCGCGTACGCTCTAGGAAGAAACGGTAGCTGAACGAAAACACACGCGAGCGTCTGCTGAGTCTCGCGCGCTCTACGGCGCACCGCAAACGATGAAAGGCGCACATGCGACGCCCCTGGTTCGCGCAGGTACACTCCCTGCGGAGGGTGACTGGAAACGCATAGTTTTTCCGGCGAGCCAACGTGACGTCGACGTGCCGGGCGCCAAATATGATACCTGAGGCCTTACCGGGCCTAAACTGCCCGACTTCCAAGCGCAACATTTCTGACTGGGCGCGGAAGAGAAATCCGCGCGCGATCACAACTGCGTCGGCCAATTCCTGTTGGCCCTGCGCCTCTGCAGCAGCGACCATCTTTCGCACCGCGTCCCCGCGGAGCACGGGGCGCCTAGATTGCACGACGGGCGCGTCCCTTTGGGAGGCGCCCTTCACCAGTTGCTGAACACCGCCGCTCCACCAGCCGAGCGGCGCATCTAAGAACTTGTGGGCCCATCGAAGATGTTGTAAATATTTTGCTAGAGTTGGCCCGTGCGGGACAAAAAGCGCAAACTGCCTAGCGTGTGTGATGGTGGCCGGGAAGTGAGGCAGGTGGAAGCATTCACAAAATTCTGCCCACGCGTACAGAGCGCTCCGCGTAGACTTCCACGAGCTTGTTTCCCTGATGGTCTCCAGAGCTGCCCTCCGAGACCCTTCAAGCAACAAGCCGGCCTGCAGCTCGCTCGCAGGGCGCCCCTGCTGTGCCGAAAGCAATGCCCCGAGGCGTTTCCTCGGGCCGCCCTCGGACGGGAAATGCTCCGCAAAGCGCACTGTAAATGGTCTCCGGTTTAAGGCTGCACAAATCACCTGCTCATCAAAATATTCGCCCATTGCGCACGCAACGTCGAAAGCAGTGGATTGGTGCGAAAGGACCTGCAACCAGGTTTGGCCAACTCCGGGCCTAGGGCGGAACGGGTTCAACAACGCACTCGGTTGTGGACCCTCGAACGGTGCGGCCGGCCCACTGCTGGGAACGCCAGGCGCCACGTGCGTGGAAACAGAACCAAGGCCGCGCGGCCCGCTGGCTGCGTGAGAGAGCCAAGCTGGCTCGCGAGGGCGCCTGGGACTCCTGCTACGCAGGACTGGCCCCCTGAAGGTGGAAGCGCGGCGCGGGGGCGCCGCCGCCGCCGCCGGGGCAGCAGCCGGGGGGCGGAGGCCAACTGGCTGCACGGGCCGCATGGGCCCGGCCGGGCCCCCCCGAAGCACGGCTACCCCGCTGGGCGCACCCTTGGGCCTGCGGCGACACTGGCGGGCAGCACGTGGTAGGCACGAGGACGCGCGCGCGCGGTGGGGACATCGCGAGGCGCATGGGGCGAGAACAAGTGGATGCATCCTGCCAGAACACGCGCACTCCGACCGTTCTCTGGCGCCTCCTACGGGCAATGTGAACCACAACCCCCACCGCACGCGCCAGGGAAAATCGAATTTCGAGTCCAAGCCGACAAAAACGCCCCCCAACCTCCGAACCAGCCAGCAGCGCCGGCCCGCCACCTCGGCCGAAGAGGTGCGACGGCGGCGGGGGAGGGAGGGCGGCGGGCGGCGGCGGCGGCGGAGGCGAGGGCCAGGGGAGGGGCAGGAGCAAAAGGGGCGGGAGGGGAGAGGGAGGGAGGGAGGGAGGGAAGGAGAGAAGCGAGAAAAGGAAAGACAAGGACAAACGAGAGCGAAAGAATCGACGACGCTCTTTCTTCCACACCGGGCGACTCCGCCTGGCAACTACACGGAGCCGGGGCGGGGCCACTTTAGTGCCCTGCGGCTCCACGACGCCCACGGACCCAAAGTTTGCCGGCTGAGGCAATCTACAGGATTACTCTCGGACGGCACGTAGCGAAATTCCACCGCCGCTCGGGAGCGGCCCACGGCGTGCCAGCACGCGCCCGCAATAGAATTCAGGTCAGGTCTCTTCGACCACCCAGAAATGAGGATATCCAGCGCAGCGGTGTTGTCGACGAAGAATAATACACGCGCCGAACGAAGCTCGGGCCCCCAAGTCTGCCACGCGGCCGTGGCGGCCAGGAGTTCGAAAGCGTTGATCTGCGTTTTCCTGCACTGTAACTGGCGCAGCCACCTGCGCGGTACGAAATCCATGGCATACTCTCGTGCACCTGATTCACGCCTGAAGACCCCGACCCCGACGCCTCCGTCGCCCGCCGCGTCGGTATATACCAACACATCGAACAAGGGCTGCGCCAGTTCCGCGGTCGTACGGCTCATGCTGGGATAAGCCTCAAGTAAAGCAGCCCACCAACGGAGGCACGATCGCAACCGTTTCGTGAGCTTCCAGGACCCATGGGAAGACTGGCGCCAATACAGCGGCCTGATGTAAGAACGACCAACCCGACCGAACGCCCGCGAACACGCAAAGTTGAGACGGCCGGCGAATTTGCCCGCCAAGGCGGGGGAAAGGGAGCCTACGGCCAGGGACACTTCAATTTCGCGACGCCACTCTGCGGCCTTGCGCGGGTGGAGGCGCCACTCCACGCCCTGTTGGGAGACCGACACGGTGCAGCCGAGCAAGTTTATGCACGTGCACATGCCTTCAGACTTTCCCGGGTCTAGGTCCCAGCCTAACAGGGACATAAGTTCCTGGAACACCAGTTTGGCGCGCTGCGCGCGCGGCTGGAGGTCCACCATGAAAGTGTCATCGACGTACACGAAAAGGATGAGCTTAAATGCCTTCACCGCCACTGCCTTGATGGCCTGGGCGCAACGCCACCACGCGAACACGCCACCGAGGGCCCCGAACGGTTGAGTCAACAGTTCTGACACCTTCCATTCGCGATGGTCGGTATCCCAGACCAAGCACCACATTAGCCAAGACTGCTCCGGGCTAGGGCAAACTGTCTTGAAGGCGCCAACGAAATCGTCTTTCCCGAGAAGAATCCCCGGGGGCCCTGCGGGCGGGTTGCGGCGCAAGCCGTGCAGCAGAGCCAAAGCGGCGTGAGACAAATGGTCGTGTGTATCGTTCCACACGCGCTCAGTCATGAACGCGCAGGCGTTGACGCCGTTCTTTTTGAAGTTGTCAATGATCCGGAATTTTTGCACGCCCTCTCGACGCTCCTCAATGCCAAACCTTTCAACAAGGAGGATTTGACTTAAATCCACTTCGTGGAGAGCCAACGGTGGCCCAACCATCCCGGACGACACCTCCTGCAGATGCTTCCGCCAAACAACCTCAGCGTGGGCGCATGGCTTCGCTCTGGTTACGGTGCAGTCGTTAATCGGCCGGCACCGCTGGAAAAGTTCCCCCAAGCATGGGGGGCCCCCCTCCTCGGCGCTGCGCGGCAACGCCGGGCCAGGCAACTTGCGCCCAACGCCGCCGGCCCCTACAGGGCCAGAAACCGGAAAACCCCGGGACAAATCCTCCATGAAATCGCGATCTGGATGGCCTACGGCCAGAAGCATTTCCTGCAGGAGGGGGCCGTTGATCTTCTCCAGAGTTGATTTGAATTTGGACGGGAGAGAACCGACCCACTTTTGGCGATTGCTCGCCAGAGCCGCGGAACGAGCCTTCCAATGCCTCAAGGCGGTTTCCCGGTGGCTTGCCACGCCTGCGGCGTCCTCGAGCAAGCCCTGGATATTCTCCGAGATATCAGTGCCGAGGGGAGGGAACGGGTCGCCTTGCGGGCGGGATTGCAAAGCCATACAAACGTGCTCTGTCGGACCCACTGGCGGGCCCCCTTCGGGCGCGCTGTGCCGCGGGCGCTTTGCACCCTCCGGGCGAGGCGGGGCGCGGCGGGGTCGCGCGGCAGCGCTGGCGAGAGTGTCCACGCGGACCTGGTCTGAGGCCCCGTCTTCTCCGCCGCCGGAGCTCTGGCGAGCGCCGTCCACAAACTTACCCCGCGGGCGATCCCCTGCGGGGACTGGCACAGGGAGCTGGGGCGGGGAGGGGGAGGCAGGAGGGCGGAGGGAGGAAGAGGAAAGGGAAGGCGGAGGGCCTACTAGTTCACCTTGATAAGGCGCCTGCGGCGCGGAGCATTGCACGCTGCTATCCAATGGCCCGCGGCCTCCGTCACTCGCGCGTGCAACGCGAGACACTGCTTCAACGGGTACGTGGCAATCTGCATCGCCGTTCAAAAATCTGCCCTGCGGGCTGCCCCCTGCGGGGAGTGGAGGGAGGCGCGGAAGACGAGGAGAAGCAGGCAGAGGGAGAGGGAGGGGGAAGGAGGGGTGTGCTTGTTCACCTTGAAAAGGCGCCTGCGGCGCAGAGCATTGCACAGAGCTATCCGGCGGCCCGCGGCCCCCATCACTCGCGCGAGCAACGCGCGTTCCCGCTTCACCGGGTACATGGCGATCTGCGTCGCCGCGCCCTGCGGGCGCTCACCACTGCTTCCCCTTGCCGTCTCCCTTGGGGCCGGCCCGCAAGCACGGGGGCCCGCGCGCCGGGGTCGGGGGCGGCGGCGGGGGCGGCGCCACCGCCGCGTGTCCGCGCGCTGGCTGGCTCGCGTGGCCCTGCGGGCCCCTGCTGGCGCCCGAACCGCCGCGGCCCGAGCTGTCGCCGGCCTGCTTCGCCCTGCTGCACTGGTCCTTGACGTCGGCGCGCAGGCCGTGGTCGATCTTCTCGAAGCTGGCGTCCGGGTCCACCGAGGGGCCCTTGTTCTCGATCTGCGTGCCGAGGCGGAGCCATTCCTGGCGGTCGTACTCGTACGCGACCGTGACCCCGAGCTCCTGCGCCATGTGGCACAGGTCGAGGAAGCGCCGCAGCAACCGCTCGAAGGTGACGGCCTCGCTGTTGAGGTCCGCCTGGAGCGCCAGCTGGGACAGCGCCCGGGCCCACCAGCAACTGGTGAAGTGGGCGAACGACTGGAACGCCTGACCCTTCTGCGGAGGGCGCAAAGTGGCGTCCGACGCCCTCTTCAGCGGCTCGAAGTCTTTCTGCAGCTCGCCGGCGACCCAAGGGAGCCGCCCGTGGCCAGCCTTGCGGCGGCTGCGCCGGAGCAAAGGCTGAAGGAGAGCGGACTGCGGCAGGTGCTCCACCGGCAAGCCGTTGAGCCCGTAGCGCTTCAGCCCCTTGCACACGTTCACCGAAGTGGAGGCCTTGTCGTCTGAGTCGGAGGACACCGAGCGGTCCCCGCGCTGCCTGGCCGCGCCGACCCGCGCCCTACGGGCGATGGCCCGGAGTGCGGCGACGGACTCCGCCTGGAAGTCGGGGCCTGCCGCGGCAGCGCTCGAGCCATTGCCGCCGCCGGCCGCGGCCTGCTGCACCTTCTCTGCCACGGCCGAAACCAGCAGGAAGGCCCGGTAATCCAACTCAAGAGTGAGCGGGTCACGGCACGCCGTCTCAAGGATCGGGCGGGTCGCAAACTTGAACTGCCACGCCTCGTGGAGGCCAGCATCTTCAAGAAGACCAGCGACCCTGAGAAGCTCCTGCTCCGAGACGCCCTGCGGGCTAAAGGCACGGAGCAGGTCCTCTGAGTTCCTTCCCGACGCCGTACGGCGGGGCTCTTCTGGAGGCTCGAAGCCCTCCGGACTGAGTGAGACAGAACGCCCCCTCGCGGGGGCGGCGGGGGCAGCGGCTGCGGGGCTGCGGAAGGGGCGGCGGCGCCGCGAGCGGGAGCGCCGGGCGGAGGGGCTCCCAGCCGGCTCCCGGCCAGCGTCGCCCGGGGGCGGCATCGCGCGCCGGGCGGTGAGGGGGAGCGTAACGAAATCGAGGGATGAAACCCCGACTCCCTGCTGGGCTGTAGGGGCCCTTTGGGCCCAACAGCTGCAAGCGAACGCGCGCACGTGGCAGCCACAGGATCGGAAGTCCCGGGCACGGGACCCCAACCAGATCCCTTCCAAAGGAATCGAGTTTCGAAAACCAGCAAACCCGACCTCCTTATCAGCCCGAGGGGACAAAACCAAGTAAGGCCACAATAGAATCAATATGAACAGCGGCCCTTCCCAACCAATTTTCCGAGACACTAAACGAGTTTACGTCTGCAGACAAAGAGCTTGCCTAGATGCCCAAGATAGCCTCACAACGTCTCCAAGTCCCCCACACGCCTCAATGGAGCCCCAAGAGGAGCCTCCAAGAAAGCCCCACGAAGCAAAATTCGCCCCGATCCCTTCTAAAACGTGCATGTTGGGCGTCGTCGCCTTCTTGTTCGTCACAGCGTCCAAGTCGGTCCAAAAAGCCCCCACGATCGCCCTGGCACGGCCCAAGAGGCCACCAAGAAGAGCCTCAGGCGGCACAAGAAGGCCACAAGACGGCCCAAGAGGCGTTCAAGAAGGCCTCCGAGATGGCCCAAAAGGGGACCCAGAGGGGGAACACAAACTGAAAATCCTAGCATTCTGCCCCAAGAGCCCCCCAGGAGGCCCCAAGAGGCGCCCAGGAAGCCCCAAGAGGCCCCAAGAGAGCCCAGGAAGCGTCTAGAATTTGTAAGGATGTCCCAAGCGAAAGTGCGATCCCTGGAATTAATACAAAGTCCCGAGCGAAAGCCCGATTTCTCAATACAGTGTGAGGAAGTATCAGACGAGGGCCGCGGTTGTGGCAAACTGGAGCCGAAGACTCAGTCTGAGGCGCGAGACTTCCACTTGGAAAAACTGGGTGCGAGCCCCAGGAGAGCACTTCAATTGAAAAACACACTGGGCAGCAAAAAGGGGGTCCAAACAACGTAACGAATCAACAAAAAGAATCCGCACAGCAGAATCACACTTCAGTCACGCACCCAGGGACAATGAATGACTGTTCGGCCCCTTCACTCTGATCTCAAATACATGTCATGTGTTTATCCTCTTCGACTAGCCTTCCTGCGCCTTCAGCGTAGTCCAGTGTTTCTTCTTCTTCTGAGTAGTATCAGTATTCTTCTTCAAAGCGCGATCACAGTAGCCAAACGTCTCTCAAGCAAACGTGGTCCAAATATGCGCATGCATCCTCGAAACAATGACTGACCAGGTTACTCGGCACGAGGAACCAACGTCAGTCTGTAGAATTTTATACAGACTCATGCATGTCTACAGAAGCAACTGCCCACAGAAGCAATTGCACGCTGCACTCTCGCACCGAGTAATATTTGTACAACCACAGACATGCGCTCTCAAATGCATTGTCGAACACGGCTTGACCAAAGCTGAAAGACGTATGAGATGGTTGGTCGTGCCCCTCTTCCTTTCCCTTTACGTACCTGCGTATCCGTTTCCCCCTCCCCTGGGGTCCAAAATCCCATTAGAGGGGGGGCCTGGGAGTTTGCCAACGCACCTCTGGGGGGGACCTTCGAGCCTCTAAACTCACCCTGCGTGACCTCTGAGATGACCAAGATGCCATGAAATCTGGCTCAAGGAAGGCTCCGATACGCTCAAGAACATCCCAGATGGCCTCAAGACCCCCAGCCCCCGCCCTGGCTCCGCCCCGGAACCCGGCCGCGGCCCCGGCCCCCGCCCCGGCCCCGGCCCCCACAGAGCCCGAGAGGCTCCCAGGAGAGAGCCCCAACAAGGGCTCCAGAGCGTGAGCATCGTCGTCGTATCAATTCTGTGCGTATACATAGATGTAGCTCTCTTGTTACATACAGATGCACCGATGTGACTATATAGGCACACATCTACTCATCCCGTTCAGCCTGTTTCTCTATCTCTTTCTCTTTCCCTCCCTGTATTTCGAGGCATGTCCCGAGTAAACCCGTGCCAACACACAGATGTACATACACACAAAGGCACTGATACAAAACTACTTCCAAGAAAATCGAAGTATGTATACCCCGCATTGCTTCCTGAACTACTTGTAAAGAAAGGACACACTGACACACAGACACACAGATGTCAGATGTCTCATAGACATGCTGCGGGGTAGCCTCAGGCGTGGCCATGATGGGGCGCCTCGCTGTCGGAGTAACCTGCCCCACCAACACTGGCTATTTCTCTCTGCGGAGCCAGAACAGATAGCGTACCGTGAAGTCGTCACCAACCGCACCTCACGATCAGGCAATGGACTAGCGGTGCTCCACCATGTCAACAACTTAGTCAAGTTGCCTTGTGAACAGAATGCGTGCATTGTAGGTTGACGCTGGTCCCTTTACGATGTTCCAATCATGATCCTAGTGCTTCGCGCTACAGAGCATGACTGACGCGTTGGCCTGGAAACGGGAGGAGGGAAGGGGGAGAGGAGAGTGGTGGGAAGGGGGAGGACGAGGGGGGGGAGAGGGGGAGCGATGGGGTAGGAAAGCAGGAAGGAGGGGCAGAGGGAGAAAGTGAGCGAAAGGGGGGGAGGTTTCCTTCTCCTCCTCCTCCTCCTCCTCCTCCTCCTCCTCCTCCTCCCCCTCCTCCTCATCCTCCTCCTCCTTCTCCACTCCATTTCCACATCAAAAACTCCTCCCGGCCGCACCCCGAGGCCAGTCGGAAGGGCTGGCCGGACGTGACGCAGGACACTTCCCTACCACTTATGATCCTGAAGCTTAGAGATTGGCAACGACTTCACAGATGGAGGGCGGGCCGCTTCCAAAAGGTGGCTCTCGCCTTAGCGCCGCGACCACTCGTCTTAAAAATTTGCAAAAGCTTCACGGGGTGAGAGCGGGCGGTCCTCCAAAGGTGGTTCTCGCCGCAGCGCCGCGCACACTCGTCGTAAACATTTGCAGGAGTTTCACGAATTCCCACGGTTAACGTACCAGAAATGACGTTCTGGAACGACTCAGGAGTTGAAGTTCCAGAAACGGTGTTCTGGCACGATTTGGGACCGTCACGACGCAACAGTCAGGTTGACTGGTGGCGTTGGAGTCCCGAGAAGGGTGTGTTGGTACGCTTCAGGATCTTCACACGGTTGTCTCCCAACGGGGCACTTTCTTCAGTGGACATGAACACTTGTAGGGGCTTCTGGAGAAGGAGCCTGGAGGGAGGATTTATTCCAACATCGTTGATGAGCCTTGGGTTTACACCAGTCCTCCTTCTCCCCCTCCTCCTCCTCCTCCTCCTCCTCCTCCTCCTCCTCCTCCTCCTGCCTCCTCCTCCTCCTCTCCTCCTCCTCCCCCTCCTCCCCCTCCTCCCTCCTCCTTTGCCTACTCCTCCACCTTCCTCTCGATTTTCTCCTCGGTTTTCCTCTTTCTCCTCATCCTCCACCTTCTCCTTCGCTCCTCCTCCTCCTTCCTCCTCCTGCTCCCCCTCCTCCTCCTCCTCCTCCTCCTCCTCCTCCTCCTCCTCCTCCTCCTCCTCCTCCTCCTGACATCATCATCATAATCCCTCCTCCTCTCCTCTCCTCCTCTCCCATCATCTCGTCATCATCATCCATCATCATCATCATCATCATCCATCAGCATCATCATTCATCATCATCATCACATCATCATCATCGTCATAAGAATCAATCATCATCCCATCATCTCATCATCATCATCAATCATCATCATCATCATCATCTCATCTCAGTATCAGCATCCATCGTCATCATCATCATCATCATCATCAGCATCATCATCATCATCATCATCATCATCATCATCATCATCATC